CTGATGATTTTGTGATGATATTATGAAATTGAAAGAATTATTTATCATTAAATTAATTTTATCATTAATATCGATGGTAATAGTATTTCTTGAAAATTAATTTGAATAATTAAAATCAATGTGTAGAAATATATTCATACATTATACAGTAAATAATTTTCTTGTGATTATTTAAAATGCTATCTTTTTTTTATTTCTAGAATATAAATTTAAATAATCACAGATTATCATTTTTTTAATGCTACTTTATAGACGTCATAAAATTTACGTATTGAATATTTATACGTAGCGAGTATCAATAATTCATTTCATTTCTATTTGTTGCGAATGATGAATTGAAATATCGTTTATTTCTAGAATTTATGAATATTAAAATTGCTTGAATATCCAATTATCTCACAGTTTTTTTACATTTTATCTCGTGTTATTATATAAAATTACTTGCAAAGTTTTTTTTTTTTTTTTTTTTTTTTTTTTAATATATCACTCGTTAATAACAAGTAGGGTATATTAAACGCATGAGTAGTAATGTATACAGCCGAGAGATATTTTATCGAAAGGAAGTTGCAAGGTCAGCCTTGATATATAATTAATGCCTTGAAGCTATTCACACATAAATCATAATATGAATGGAATCGCTCAGCGTCTCGAAAATATGTGATTCTATGCATCATTTAGCTTGTTAAGTTTGATTTTCAGTTAACATATCCCATTACGAAGATATGTGCTACTTCCTACTGCCCAGCGTGCCATTGGCTAGGTTTCAAATGTTCAGCGGTCATGTGTGGGATCAGAGTAGATCTCGCAATTTCAGAAGCACTGTTGGATTACTTATTACCCATTACACCAACACGCTAGGTATAATAAATTCTTCCAAATCCTACACATCTTGCATTCTGTGCATTTCCTCTCCGCGAATGCTCTATTTCTTCACGCGTTATCTGTCGTAATAATTTTCGTACTTTGGCTATTGTCTCTTCCAAATTGCGTAATTCTGTGTTATTGAAAGAACGCTTGAATATATCTTCGTTTTTTTTTTTCCTCTTAAATAAGTCTAAAAATTACTTCTTTTCAATAATATTACAAATTTTTGTGTACGTTTAAAATTATTATTAAGGAAACCTGATACATATGTTAAAAAAAGATAATTTTCCATTTTGAAATGGATAGATTAGTTCCAGATAAAATTACGTAAGGAATAATTATAATGTAAATATCATTTTTTAACATGACTGAATTTAACATTTTAAAAATAAGCGTCGTTTGAATTAGGATTCGATTGAATTTCGATTCGAGTTAGGAAACTAAAGAAATATTTCACAAATGTTTTAAGACTTTAGATGTAGATTAAATATCTGGCATTTAATAAGACTAATTATATTGATGTATGATTTACAGCGGAAGTAATGTTACAACTCAGAAACAATCGTGAGATGCTCGATGATTTGCTCGTATCGATGTTGGTACGTTGCAAACACCTAACAAGATTACAATATGACGGTATAATAAGAAGTCTTGATACTTTGCGGGACATCTGCCAGCTTCAAGCTGAAAACAAGACTCGTAAGAATCCAAACACTTGTTCCCATTCAATACAATCAATTTCAACTTTAAAAATCTTTTTTCTTTATTTAAAAAATTAGGGACAATTGAAGTACCAATTTTTAATTCATTAGAAAAAAAAAAACAAAAAAAACAAAAAAAAATTAATTTTAGTTTAGAAAATATCCATCTTTAAGATAATGAAATAACGAAATAGATTTTCGTACGATCCATGTGAAACCACGTAACGTTAACGCCCGGAATCGCGCCATTTTGAACGACATCAACTACCATTACGACCACAAGATGATGGAACAAGGAGTAGATTTCCGTATCGAAGATCCGGCCTCGGTTTTGGTGTTCTACTGAAATGTTAATTTCTCAGCTGTCCACCGGTATCTGTCCCACTCGAGTCTCTGGTTATTAAGGCCAAAAAATAAAACATTGTCCGCCCTTCATTTTGATGCGATTCATTCTTTTTATCCTTTTTTAATTGTATTACGTTTATTTTTGATAATTCGAGTTTATTTATGATTATTTGTTAAATATTTTTTTTTTTTTTTACAGGACTCGGTATTTCTTTTTCATATTAGATTTATCTATCTTTTATAATTGGTTAAAAATAATACGAGCCAAGGGTTTTTTTTTTTTTTTTTTTTTTTTTTTCAATGACGAAGAATTATCGAACTGCGATAGAATATTGAGTAATAAATTTAGAATATTATGAAATTAATTTTCTTTTCTTTCTTTTTTATTCTCAATTGAGTATTCGTGGGTGAGTTAATTTAACAATAAATACGATATTACAAAAGATCTCGTAATAACAATTTATAAAAATATATGGAAGCCTTAAATAATAAGTAAAAAATCATTTTCATTATTATTTTGAGTAAAAAAGATCTAAAAAAGATTTTCGTTGTTTTCACGATGGAATATCAAGTTTCAAGCACAATATGAATCACTTATAAATAGTATATATATATATACTATATATATATATATATATATATAAAGTATAAAAAAATGTGTCTAAAAAAGTAGAAATTTACATTGATGTTAAATATATCACATTATTCTAAAAATTTTTAATTTTTATAATTTCTAATTAATTGATCGTAAGTAATTTAATTACATTTTCATATTATAATATTTATATATAAAATTCATATATAAAATTCGAAGATCAGATACATCGACTTAACGATCAATTAAAAAGAAATTTTTCTCGAAAGAAAGATTCTGTCGAATTATCGACAAAAAGGAAAAATATTCTTATAATTATCGTAAAATCGAATCTTGTATTAATTAGAGGCTAAAAGAAAAATATGAAAAGTCCATTTTAAAATGGTGTTCGTATTTAATCTCAAAAACGAATCTCAAAAACAACAATTTTTTTTTTGCAAAAAATGAAAAATCACTTATCATATTTTTCCTGTCTTTAATTATTATACTTTTTAATTACGTTTATACGAAATAGCACGATGATTTGTCAAATGCAACTAAATTTACAACAGTTACATTTTAATACTAGTGTCAAGGACGGCTTTATAATCGCAGACATTATGAGCTTTGCACGTTTAAAACTTTAAAAATACTTTAAAAAGACGTATAAAACATATGTAAAAAAAAAATCTCACGTCTTAAATTATTTTCATCGATTTTTAAAAATTTCATATTTTCTCAAAAAATAATATGTATACGATACATAGTCAATATATAGATAGGACTTACTTACAAAAAGATATCTCCTTCAAGCGATCGATTTCGATGTTAATCCTCTTGAATGGCGATTATATTCGTAAGGGTTGCCCTGATTTCTCGAGGGTTTTCTAAAAGCACCTCAAGGGTCATAAATTGCACAAGGATGTCCCAGTATTAAACGATCGAGCTGTGTCAATCCACGCTTGTCCAAGAAATAGAAGAAACAAATAGAAGAAACGCTATGGATGTCGGCTATTCTTATTGACACGTATTGAGAATTAAATTCAATATTTTAAGAACTGTACATCGATTTCATATAAATTTAGCTGCTTTATCGAATTTTTCTATTATTGTCACGCATTGATTTTTTATGCCACATGCTATTTTAAATACTTTGCGACAAATGATAGAAATAGTACTTTTGACCGTATAAACTTTCTATAAACGAACCATTTAATACTGGAATTAAAATAAAAAAAAAATACGTATATACACCTCGATTTAAGGCTGGGACTATTGGAACGATCCAATATATTTAAATACTTAAATATAAAAATACAAAAAGATCACCCATCTTCAAATACTCTTTCACCATCCAACCTGAAATTCTTAACTTTTAAACGTTCTAACAATCTCTCCAAAGAATCACAGAATCATAAGAAATTACCCATTTATAAAAATTAACGACAAATAGTCCCAGTCTTAGCTGAAACAATCGCATACTGGAAGCCCTTGCTAAACTACTCTCTTCTTCCATCTATCTTCTTCTCTGATCCCGTTTCAACGACAGGATTTCATATGAGTGTTCAAAACGGTTCTCGTCACGAAACCTTTTCCACACCGAGGACAAACGTATGGCCGTTCACCAGTATGGTAACGTTTGTGAACGACCAACGTGGATCTCTGTGTAAAAGCTTTGCCGCACTGGTCGCAAGAGTACTTTCTCTCGCCTGTGTGCGTGACATTATGAGTCCTGAGGAGGGTCTCGCACGCGAAACACTTGCCGCATACCTCGCAGGTGTAAGGCTTTTCCCCTGTGTGCGATCGATTGTGTATCTCGAGGCCTTTCGCTGTTTTTAGCTCTTTGCCGCAAAGTGCGCATAAATATCTACGCCTCTCGTAATTGGGCATGTCACCGTGAGCCTTCACCTTATGCTGCTTCAGAACTGATTTGTACTTGTAAACCTTGCCGCAAACGTCGCATTTGTGCTCTGCGGTTTGGGGATCGTCTGTTTCGAGTTTCTCTTGAATTAATGCAGCTGGGTCGTAGTGATAGAGACGATTGTGCTCCTTCAGACTGTGTTAATTTGAAAGATTCGAGTATAATTTTTCTTTCTTTCTTTCTTTCTTTTTTTCATTGTGTTGTTGTTGGATGGAGATATTAGAAGCGTTGGTATTCTTTTTCGTTGAAGAGAATAACTTCGATTTATCGATTCTCGAAATATTCATTATTGAATATGCTATGAAGCAAGTAATAAAATTTATACGGATTCTAAAGATTATTTTCAAAAATTTCTACTTAATAAATAACGTATTATATAAAATATGATATGAATGAAATATAATTTTTATATTTTCCTCGTGTAAAAATCAAATTAGTAATAATTATTAATTTCTTGACCAAATATCAATTTAAAATTATATTGAAATCGAATAATATTCAACGATTGAAGAAAGAAATTTTAAAGAATATTTTTAAAATTTTCTCGAGATCTTCACTGATCGATTACCTTCGCTCAACTACGTGTATGATTGTGTATGTAAATGAGTTGATAAAAAAAAACAATATTGTCATACCTGTACACGTCATTGAAAGTCGTACCACAAGCATTGCACTGTTGAAATTGCATGAAGTTGTGCATGGTCGTATGAGTCGTCAAAGAATCCTTGTCCACGAAGTTCTCACTGCAGATTTCACACGTGAATTTCACCTCTCGATGGTGTCGTTTCGTATGCCTCTCCACGTCGGTAGCATTCACCCCCATGAAACTGCACTGATTACAGGGTATAGTTTTTGGGGTATGGGACTTTTTCACGTGAGCGTTCAACATGAATTGTTGCGGATACGTCTTTTCACAAGTGGCACACTTGAAGGGTCTATGGATACCGTGGACGATCCTCAGATGTGCCACTAATCTGGTTACGAAGTGAAACTTTTCTTGGCACAGATCGCAGACTTTCTCGTTTCCCTCGAATCTGAAAGTTCAATTTAAAATCGAAATTATCCTCGAACGAGAGAAATTATCTTCGAAGAGAATCGTTTCTTCAATTCTTGTTTAATTTTTTTTCTTTTTTTTTTGGATAAAAAAAATTGAACATAGAAAATCGACTGGTTTTATCCATATAAACACAGATCATCAGATCGAGGATATTATTAAATAAAATGCAAAAATGTTTCTAATTACCTCCTTTTGTTTTGTAATTGTAATTTTACAAAATGTGTGGAAGAAACTCACTTCTGCTCAGGATCGAAAAGGACATCCTCGTTCTTGATTCTGAAATCTTCGCAGCTGCTAAACTCGTCGTGCTCGTTGCTCCAGTTGCTAGAATGAGGGAATCTTCATTGACAAAGATACACATTTACAAGCATCATGATATTCTCTCAACACTGATATTCGTACGTCAAAAAAAAAGAAAAAAAAAGAAAGAAAGAAGAAGCTTTCGATGCTTTTGTAAATGCGCGTACAAAAATTCACGGTAAAAAAAAAATCTCCATAGACATACATTCTTCAATAAAATACAAATTTCTGTTCAGATTTCTCTCATCATCCTTTTTATTCCAAGTATTCACAAAATTATTTTTATCGATAACAAAAAAAGAGGAAGAGAAAGAAAAAAACATGATTTTACAATTCACTCGTCTATTTTTATCACATCGTTTCTCAAGTCTCGAGCTGCGAGGTTTTCTCGTGCGTCTTGCGATGTTTCTTCAAAAAACTTCCCGACACGAATCCCTTGCCGCAATCCACGCATTGATACGGCCTTTCCCCCGAATGATACCTAAGATGCAAGATCAAAGAGGTCCTCTGTGCGAATCTTCTTCCACACTGAGAACAACCGTATGGTTTTTCCCCCGTGTGCACTCGCCGATGAACACTTAGGTTCTCTTTGCTCGCGAACTGTTTGTCGCACACATCGCATTTCGCGATCTTCTCGTTGACGTGACGCCGCCTGTGCACCATCAGCCTTCTGCCGGAGGACAGCATAGCGCCGCAAAGATCGCACAGATGCCCCATTTTCTCGCGCAACCCGTGCAATTTCCTCAAATGGGTTTCCAAGAATCGTTTCCGCGTGAAATCTTCGAGGCAGATCGTGCACACGTGTCTCCGTTTCGCGCCACTTTTCATCTCGGCCGGTAAAATATTCGCGTGGTGGGTCCTCATGTGATGGGTCAGGTTCTTCTTGTACGGATAGGTTTTGGTGCAGTGGTCGCATCGATAGATCTCCTTTCTCGTGTGCACGTTCACGTGCTCCACGTACTCTGTCCTCAGAAAGAATCCTTTCTGACACTGGTCGCACTTGAACGAGTAATCTTTGATGTGTCGCCGACGATGACTCTCGAGATTCGACTTCTGGTTTGATTTATAATCGCACAAATCGCACGCGAACCTCTTCGAGCCTGTGTGGATTAATTTGTGACGAGCTATGTTCATGGGACTTCTGAAGGTTTTCCCGCACTCGTCGCAGCTAAAGGCTCTGTCGATGTTGTGCAGGTTCTTCAGATGCTCGACCAGTTTTCTCATGTGGCAGAAACAGGCCCCGCATTTGATGCATTCGTGAATCGCTCGAGAGGTTATTCTTCGTGTCCTGAAAACAGAGGCGTTGATGAAGAACACGTGTGATTCGTGAGCCGTTTCAATAAACTGATGGTTAGAAGAATTATTGTGATTGTAACGAATATTTTTTGTTGGGACTTTTCTTTTTTGTTAATTTTTTATTACATACCTACCCGATATTTAATGATGTATCATCTTTACGATTTATTAATCTGTAATATAATTTTGATCAAGATTTGGCACATATATATATATTCGTTAAAAAAATTTTTTTTTTTTCTTTGATAGAATTAAGATGCGAACAAGTATTGAAATATGAAAACGAAGGAATGGAGGATTATATCACGTGAAGAAAGATGCCACGTTTGCATATATTTTTTTCAATGGTTTCAATAACCAATTATTGAATGTACATAAAGTTTTATCATCATCATCATTTCTTACAAAATTTTCTTTTTAACATATAAATACATTCGATTAATTATTCATTTATTTAGCAATATTTAAATTTCAACTAGTATTTGAATGTTGTAATATTCTTTTTTTTAATATTGACTTTTTCTGCAAAGTTTTTTGTACAAAATTATAGAAGCGCTTTGCTTGTGATTTCTCGAGTAATATATTCGATCTTCCGAGAAATGTGGACGTAATGTGGACGTACCGAAAAATAATTATCGTTTTAACGTATAATTAAAGCCTGTTTGCGTACAAAGTACATACTTACATATAAGATTATTTAATACAAATTATGCTGTAACAAAGTAAACAATGAATAATACAACGATCTCTCGTAAAACGACGAGATGTACAAATTCTTTTGCAAATTTCTCATTAACATTTTGTCCAATATATACTATCAAGTATATAATCGATTATTTCATCTTTATACAATTCCCTTTCAACGTATATAAAATTATACTGTCTGGAGTTTCTAAACGTAATAAAATATTTTTCACATGATATATTCGTTATTTATAGTAAAAAAAAGTATACTTCCTCTTTTTATTCTTAATATTTTATCAAAGATAACGACACGGATAAAAATCTAATACGTAATCATAATATTCAACACTACGAATAATCAACAATACTGATGATTACTACGCTGCAAATATTTGAATGAAAAATCATATCATTTTTGTAAACACGATAAAATAAAATGAATTTAAAATTGAATTCAAACTTTCAAGCTTTGCATAATAAAAATTTTTTATTTTTACGATATCTAAACATCTGCAATTTAGTAATCACCGATATCAATAAAAATATATTAATCATACGATATTAAAAGAAAACAACGCGAATTTTACACTTAGAATCACGAGACAGCATTGCAAGAACCAGAACCACGAATATTTAATAAAAAAAAGAAAAAAAAGGTGTACGAAATCAATCACTACACTCCTCAATTCGATCAATTCTCCTTTTTCTCTATCGTCGCATCATTTAATCCCTGAGTAAAATCCGCGATAATCTTCCTAATAGAGATGACAGGGAGGGGTGGTAGGGGTCCAGGATGCCGCTTCCTGTGGCAGATCAATCCCGGCTTCTGAGCAAACTTCTGCCCGCATATATCACAAGTGTACGGCCTCTGGCCGGTGTGTATCAGTATGTGTTGCTCCTGAGCAGTCCGCCTCGGGAACTTTTTGCCGCAGACAGGGCAGGAGAACGGCCTGATACCCTCGTGGATCCTCAGATGAAGATCCAAATCCCTCTTCTGGCCGAAGGTCTTGCCGCAGGTGGGGCACACGACCTTCTCCTTTTTCTCGTGCCACAGCAAATGCTGGTCAAGGTTGTATTGAGTGGTCATGCATCGTTTGCACAAGCTGCACTCGAACGCCGGCTTGTAATGCCTGTATTTCATGTGGGCCTTCAAAGAGGGCACGCTCTTGCACGCGTGGCCGCACACGGTGCAAATAATGGGCGGTGCATTGCTGTGCATTTGCTTCGCGTGTTGCACCATGTCGTTCTTTATCTTGAATTGCTTCCCGCAAACGGAGCACGAATAGTCGAAACTGCTCGTGTGTTTTCGAATGAAATGATCCTTCAACGTCCACCTGTTGTTGCTCTTGTACTCGCAGATGGTGCAAGGGTACAACACCGGCCCGTGCACTTGTTCCGTGTGCCCCTTCAAGTCTTTCCTCAATCTGAACGTTTGGTTACAGGTCTTGCAACGGTGCCTGTGCTGCTTCATGTGAGACGCCAAGAACGATTTCCGGTTGAACTGTTTACCGCAAAAGTCACACTCAAAAAGTGACTCGGCCTCTCTCCTTGCTCTCCTCGATTCGATGGGTTTCTTAGCTTTGCAAGTCGGGGACGCGATCGAGTCGATCTTCGATCTCGTCCTTTTCCTCGCTCTCACGTCCCTTTGATTTCGATTCCTTCGTTCCTTCTTCGCCAACGTGTACGAGTTCTCTATCTTGATGGCGCATGAACCATCTTCCAGAGGATTCGCTTCGCTTCCGTTCAATGGATCCGATGCAGGTGAACTAAAACAGATCGAAGTGGTTCCTTAGTTAGTTAGATTTGATAATCGACACGGTGTAACGTGACAATGCTTCTGTATGGAGAGCTTACTTACTTGACAAATTTTTTAACAGAATGATGAACGTTTCACGATCGTTTTAGATATATATATATACATATATATATACCTTAAAGATTTTTGTGTAATGAGCGATGTATAATTCAAATGTGATTTTAATTATTTTCGGTTATTTTATTCTCAATAGAAATTTCCTTTCTATATCTTTTTGAAAGTAAAAATGCAAACTTTTTCTTTATACTTACTTTTTCTTTTTTTATATCTTTCGTAAAATAGAATGATAATAAGTTTCTCTGCTCGTTTAAATATTTTTATATTATAATATAATAGTTAATGCAATATCTAATCAATTGTATTTAATTATAATTTTATTAAAAAGTTTGAGATATACAATAGTAAAAAATACAAACAAGATTTGTACGATTAAACATACAAAATACTTTTAAAAGATATAAAATTCAATTATCTTGTCAATAAAGATAACGATACAAATAACTGTATCTATAAAAATCTTGAATACTTATAAAAATCCACTTAATACATAAAAAGTCTATTTAAAATCGACAGTGAAAAAAGGATATAAAAGTCGCTTAAAAGATTCTATCTAAAACTGCATCATCATGCATACCTCTCATTTTCATAAATCCTCATTTAAACTCTGTTCTTGTACAATTTTGAACAAACCAATTTCTTCATTTATTCAACAACAATCATAGACTCAAGATAAAATAATTGAATTAGACTATTTCAATATGCAAATATTCCTTTAAACAAAAAAAAAAAAATTTCTTCTTTTCAATAATTCACTCATTGAATCTCACTTATAATGGATCTCTCTATTACTTCCTATATGCAAATCATTTCCCCTTCACAGCCTTTCCTTACATCCAACATGGCCTGACTCTACAGATCCCACACAGATTCCTTCCTCCATCCATTCATTCAATTTTAATAATCGTGTTCTTCATGGTGTACTCCTTAGTGAACTCGGTGACGATATTCTTTATCGAAACGACAGGCAAAGGGGGCAATGGTCCAGGATGGCGTTTCCTGTGACAAATCAGGCCCGGTTTCTGGGCGAACGCTTGGCCACAAATGTCGCAAACGTATGGCCTCTTCCCTGTGTGGATAAGCACGTGCTGCTCTTGAGCGGTCTGCCTTCTGAACGATTTGCCGCATACAGGGCAGGGGAATGGTTTGACCCCGGTGTGCACTCTCATGTGAGAGTCCAAATCCCGGCCTCTAAACCTCTTTCCGCAAGTGGGGCACAATACCTTCTCCCTCGTCTCGTGCCAAGTCAAATGTTGCTCCAGATTCTCCCGAGTGGTCATGCCTCTTCTGCAGATTTGACATATGAACTCAGGCTTGTAGTGTCTGTACTTCATGTGGGCCTTCAAAGCGTGGAGATTCTTGCTGAAATGGCCGCAGACGTCGCACACTATTGGAGGTGCATCGCTGTGGTTCTGCTTCACGTGATGATTCAACGCTTTCTTTATCTTGAATTGCTTGCCGCAGGTGTCGCAAGAGAAATCGTAGTTGGTCGTGTGCAGGCGGATGTAGTGGTTCTTCAGGGTGCCTTTGTTGTTGCTCTTGTACTCGCAAACGCTACAATCGTACACTTGGCGTCGATGGATCTTTTCCACGTGAGAGGCCAGGTATCGACGAAGTCTGAAAGTTTTCGGGCAATCAGGACACTTGTGCTTGTGCTTCTTCAAATGCTCGGCCAGGTTACTCTTCTTGAGGAACTTGCGTCGACAGTGGTCGCACTCTAGACGAGTTATAGTCTTCTTCTTTGCTTGATCGGGTCGAAGAGATTCCACGTTGTTCCCTTCCTGATTCGTGGATACTATCTCGAAGTTCTCTTTGCCGATCCAATTCACGTATCCATCAGGGAACTCCAACGAGGAGAGAGATTGTTCCGGCTTGAATTCCTCGCTCAGAGGATCCAAAATTCTAAAACAGAAAATTGAAAGCATCGTGTTATCGTTGGTTTCGAAGAAAACGAAAAGTTTTGATATCTTCGAGATGATCGAGATTATAATGTTGGTAAAAGCGTGGAAAAAGTTTCGAAATGTTCTTATGAACTTAAAAAGTACATATATAAATGTAGCGTTCACTGGAAAATAATTTTGCATTTTCAAATTATTTTAACGATTAACGCTTAAATCTAAATATGGTTTCTGTAAAAATTTGGTAAAAACGAAATCTTAAGGACTCTAATATCTAATATTGATCGTACCTTCTCTACCTTCTTCTAAACGATCCAAAACAGTAGTAGCCTGTAAACGTATAAAAATAATCGATTATTATCGTTTCAACCCGATCGTTTAATATCATCAAATATACTTATCTTGCGTATTACTTTAAAACCATTTTACACAGTTCGATTACGACTATGTAAAAAATATTCGTTTCATCTTTACAATTGATATTTATATATTTAAAAAAAAAATTCAGAGAAAGGTAAAAAATATAATTTTCATTTTCTTTTTTTCGGTGTTATTTCCAAGGATAGTTGAACAGATCGGGCTCAGTAAAAATATTTATTTCAAACTCAAGCTATACACAGCATGTACGTCCTTATTAGAGCAAGATATTGATTTTTAAAAAAATAGCCGTTCTAGGCGTAGCTTTCTATCGCGCGAGCATCCTTTTTCTCGTGGATTTTTTTTTTTTTTTTTTTTACATTTTCATCTCTTCAAATATAACTAGCAACACGATCGAAGACGATCGAGTCTTATTGCGTTTACACACGGAGTGGAATAGGAGGAGTGCACACCGTGCTGTAGTGTTATAGCTATTCTCTAGGAGGAGTTAGCTCTCGCAAATAGAACAACGTGTCGTCGAGACATATCACAACGAGTGTAACAACGGAGTTTCGATGAAATTTACGATTAAATTCACGGATAGAACGACACCAGTATGTTTTACCGAGACATTAATGAAATTCTTCCATTTCTTCGCGAGCAGTGTTAAGCAAAAATCTTTTAACGCGATTAAATCAATCTGATTCTCTCTATTTGTTTTTTTTTTTTTTTTTTTTTTTTAAACCGAATCATCACACATGTAGTATTAAATTATAAAACATTAAGTTAGCGTTAATAATTTTAAGGAAAAAAAAAAAAAAAAAAACGAGCAAACATATTTGCTCGCTTTTTAATAGTCTTCTTAATTTTATTCGATATTGTTAGTATAGAGAATGCAACATGATTTTATTCCCTTTCATCAACTTGAAATTTAACATATTAAAGGATGTATACACGATTCATTTGCAATTTTTTACAGCCATTATAGGAAAATTGATCTTTTCTTTTTTTATTATTTTATATATGTACGTATATAATAATAATAATAATAATAATAATAATAATAATAATAATAATAACAATAATAATAACAATA